ATAAAATATAACTTTCTTAATAGTACAGAAAAAGCATTCCATGTAATTCAACATCCTCTTATAATTTTAAAAAATCTCTCTACAAATGAAACACAGAAGGAATGTATCTCAACACAATGAAAGCCATAGATGATAAGTCTATAGACTAATATACTCAATGTTAAAAAGTTGAAAACTTATCCTCAAAGATCAGGAACAAAACAAGGAAGCCAACTCACATCAGTTCTCAGTATTATACCCAGAAGTCTTAGCCAGAGCAAGTAGGCCATAAAAAGACATAAGAGGCATGCAAATCAGAAACAAAAAAGCAAAATTATCCATTTGCAGATAACACACTCTTACATATAGAAAACCCTAACGACCATCAAAAACTACTAAAACTAATAAATTCAGTAAGATTACAAGATACAAAATCAACATACAAAAATGGGTTGTTTTTCTATTTACACATTGAACTATCCACAAAGGAAATTAAGAAAACAATCCCATTTACAATTGCATCCAAACATAAAATACTAAGGAACAAATTTAACCAAGAAGGTAAAACTTCTGCACATTAAAATCTATAAAACATTAATGGAAAAAAAAAAAACTAAAGTTACAAATAAATGAAAAAATATTCTGTGTCAAGCAATGCTGACTAGCTCTTATAATCAGCTGGCTGATTATTCTACTTCTAGCTTTTCCTTTAAAAAATTAAATTTCAGACACACATAGGAGAGGAAAAATCCTCCAAATTATCTCTATGTCTACTTCTGAGTAAGAGTCACAAACTTTACAATTAGAACATACAGATTAAGGTCCATTAAGCTTTTCCATTAGTACATATAGATTTTTTCATTTTTCATTAAGCATAGGTATAGTTATTCCTAAAGCAACAACTAACTATATTAAATGCAATTTTTAAAGGGAAACAGGAATACTCATGTTTTGGGTAGTCCTTTTCTAATTAATCAAATAGTGGTTAAATCTCCAATTGCATTGTGCCCAGGTCTTAATTTACAAAGGTGACTGAGGGATAACATGGTGAGTCTGATGCTATTAAGAGATTTTTAATATCCAGAGTTGCTGAAGAAACAAGATACACAACATGCCACACAGGGCCTCATGGGAAAGACACTAAGGTGGTCAGGAGGCAGAAGACAAGAGCAAGAATGTTTAGGCCACTGCCTTTATTGGGGCTCTTATAGGAAAGGACAGGCAGGGCAAGATTGGGATTGGCTACATTGAACAATTTTAGTAGGCGTTTGGGCTATAGGGGTCATCCTTAGTTGCCTGGCTCATGGCTCCGGGATGATTCAAGCACAGGAATATTGCTTCTTGGTATATCTGGACCAGTTACAGGATGCATGACTAATGGTTAAGTTTAACTGTTAAAGAGGGACAGCTCTTCTCTCCCTAGGAAATAACCTTTCAAAGAGAGTAAGAAACTTCATTACCATAGTTGACCTAAAAGCAGCCACAAATTAAGAAAGTGTTCAAGCTCAATATTTAATTATTTCAATTCCTCTCACTTTACTGAACCCCTAACATCACATTGGACTAATCTATTAATAGAAACAACAATGTCAGTGTAAGTAACAAAAGCATTCTCTCCTGCATAAGCTTATATCAGACTGGAATAACTACTGCCAGTTAACAGCCCAATTATAACAACTTATATTCTAAACACCTTATTAAATTGTTAACCTGACTCAGGCATGTCCTTAAGGAAAGATTTAAAAAAGTAAAAGGAGCTTGGCAAACCTTACCCCCACCTGTTTACCAAATACATCACCTCAAGCATTACCAGTATTAGAGGCACTGCCTGCCCAGTGAGACATATTCAATGGCTATGGTACCCTGACTGTGTAAAGGTGGCATAATCACTTGTTCCCCAAATAGGGACTTGTATGAATGGCCACACGAGGGTCTAACTGTCTCTTACTTTTCATCAGTGAAACTGATCTATCCCTGAAGAGGTGGATATGACCAAATAAGATGAGAAGATCCTATGGAGCTTCAATTTTCTAATACAAACAAGACTCAAAAAACTTATAGGCATTAATTAATCATCCACGCATTAAAAATTTTGGTTGGGGTGACCTCGGTGTACAATATAACCTCCAAACAATATAAACTAAGACCACACTAGTCTAACTAAATTAATACACATTGGCCCAATAACTTGATCAACGGACCAAGTTACCCTATGGATAACAGCAAAATCCTATTCTAGAGTTCATATCGGCAATGGGGTTTGCCACCTCAATGTTGGATCAGGATAGTCCAATGGTGCAGCCACTATTAAAGGTTCGGTTTTTCAACGATTTAAGTACCACATGATCTGAGTTCAGACCGAAGACATCCAGGTCAGTTTTTATCTATTCAATATTTCTCCCAGTATTAATGAACAAGAGAAATAGAGCCTACTTCACAAAGCGCCCTAACCCAACAGATGATATTATCTCAATCTAACAAACAATTTTCCCTGCCTGAGAACAGGGCTTGTTAAGACGGCAGAGCCCAGTACCCACATAAGACTCAAAGCTTTATAGTCAGAGGTTCAATTCTTCTTAACAGCATGTTCATGATTAACCTCCTCCTACTAGTTATTCCTGCCCTAATCGGTATTTCCAACACCTATAGAACAAAATATTCTAGACTATATACAACTACATAAAGGGCCCAACATCATAGGTCCCTATGCAATACTTCAACCATTCACCAACACAACAAAACTTTTCATAAAAGAATCCTTACGACCCTCCACATCCACTATAACCCTTTACATAACTACTCCAACCTTGGCCCTTTCCATTGCCCTCCTTCTATGGGCTCCTCTCCCCATACCAGCTCCCCCAATCAATTTCAGCTTAGGCCTTCTATTTATATTAGCCACATCAAGCCTGGCCATTTACTCCATTCTATGATCGGATGAGCACCCAATTCAAACTATGCACCAGTTGGTGCATTACAAACTGTAGCCCAAACAACTTCACATGAAGTCACCCTAGCCATCATTCCATTATCAGCCCTACTAATCAGCAACTCATTAAATTTATATACACTCATTACAACACAAGAACATTTCTGACTTCTACCACCATGACTCCCAGCCATAATATGATTTATCTCCACATTAGCAGAAACCAACTGAACTCCTTTCAACCTAACAGAAGGAGAATCAGAACTAGTCTCAGGTTTCAACATGAAATATGCTGCAGGTTCATTCACTCTCCTTTATAGCAGAATACATAAATATTATTATAATAAATGCCTTAACTACCACTGTTTTTCTAGGAGCACCCCACACCATAATTTCACCAGAACTTTACACAATAAATGTAATCACCAAAACCCTTCTATTAACCACCCTATTTTTATGAATCTGAATGAATCCTCAATTATCCTATGACCAACTAATACATTTATTATGAAAAAAAAATTTTATCACTTACACTAGCACTGTGCATATGATATATCTCAATACCTATTCTAACGTCCAGCATCCCACCCTAAACACAAGAAATATGTCCAAAAAAAAAAGAGTTACTTTGATAGAGTAAATTATAGAGTTTTAAATCCTCTAATTTTTAAGGCTAGAGAAATTGGACCCACACCTGAGAATTCAAAACTTTCCAGGCTATGTATTACACCATGCACTAAAGTAAGGTAAGCTAAACAAGCTATTGGGCCCATACCCCAAAAATGTTGGTTTAATCCTTCCTGTACTAATTAACCCACTAGCCCAACTCACCATCTCCCTTACTATCTTTACAGGAACTTTCATTACAATATTATGCTCACACTGATTCCTCATCTGGGCAGGTTTAGAAATAAATTTATTAGCCATCATGCCAATCCTAATAAAAAAACAAGCCACCGCTCCACGGAAGCAGCCACCAAATACTTCCTAACACAAGCCAGCACATCCATAATTCTTATAATAGCTATTCTTTCTAACAACCTGCTCTCCAGACAATGAACAATTACTCCCACATTAACCACCTTGCATCCATAATAATAATAATAGCTCTGGCAATAAAACAAGAAATAGCCCCCTTTCACTTTCGACTCCCAGAGGTAAGCCAAGAAACCCCCCTAATACCTGCCATACTTCTCCTCACATGACAAAAACTACCTCCCATCTCATATAACTTCAAATCTTTCCATCGATCAGCACAAATAACCTCCCATTAATTTCAATTTTAACCATTATAATTAGCAGCTGAGAAGGACTTAATCAAACACAACTACATAAAATCCTAGCCTGTTCTTCAATTGCCCATATATGATGAATAATAGAAGTATTAACCTATCACCCAAACATCACCATCCTAAATTTACTTATCTACTATATTCTGACAACTTCTATATACATAATACTTAACTTAAACTTGAATACTAAAACCCTATCACTATCCCATACCTGAAATAAACTAACATGATTGATAACTATTATTACACTATTCTATTATCCCTACCACCATTAATAGGATTCTCTCCTAAATGAGCAATCTAACAAGCGTTTACAAAAACAATAACCCCATTATTCCAATTACTATAGCGATAATAATTCTACTAAATCTATACTTTTACATATGCCTAATTTACTCTATTTCAATAACAATATTTCCTACATCCATCAACATAAAAATAGAATGACAGTTTGAAAACATAAAACCCATACTGTTCCTTCCTCCATTTATTATTTTTTCCACTCTCCTACATATAACCCTGTCACTATTAATCACAAGCAAGAGCCTTGAAAGCTCTCAAGAAGAAATTATACTTAATTTCTGTATCAATTCTATGGACTGCAAAACTTTACTCTGCATCAGTTGAACGTAAATCAACTACTTTCATTAAACCAAGCCCTTCTTAGATGGATGGGACTTTAACCCACAAAAATTTAGTTAGCAGGCAAATAACTTATCGATGGGCTTCAATCTACTTCTCCTGCCATAAGAAAAAAAAAGCAGGAGAAGCCCCAACAGGATTGAAGCTGCTCCTTTGAATTTGCAATTCAATATGATAGTATCTCCTCAGGACTGGTAAAAAGAGGCCTACTCCCCTGTCTTTAGATTTACAGTCTAATGCTTCCTCAGCCATTTTACCTTTTTCTACCTATACTCGTCAACTGCTGATTATTTTCAACTAATCATAAAGATATCGGAACATTACATCTATTATTCAGTGCATGAGCAGGAATAGCAGGCACAGCCCTAAACCTCCTAATTCTAACAGAATTAGGCCAGCTAGCAACCATACTAGGAGACGACCATATCTATAATGTTATTGTCACCACTTACACATTTATTGTAATTTTCTTCATAGTAATACCAATCATGATCGGAGGCTTTGGCAACTGACTTGTCCCCCTAATAATTGGTGCCCCTGATATAGCATTCCCTCAAATAAATAACAGAAGCTTCTGGCTTCTCCCCACATCCCTTCTACTCCCACCTGCATCCTTAATACTAGAAGCCGGTGCTGGAACCGGCTGAACAATCTATCCATCCTCCCCTAGCAGGAAGCCTGGCACACGCAGGAGCCTCTGTAGATTTAACTATCTTCTCACTCCATCTAGCAGGTATTTTTTCTATCCTAGGAACCATAAATTTTATTACCACAATTATTAATACAAAACTTCCAGCCATAACCCAATACCAAACACCCCTTTTTGTCTGATCCATCCTTATTACAGCAGTTCTTCTACTTCCTTCTCTCCCTGTTCCAACCACTGATGTTACTATATTGCTAACAGACCATAACCTTAATACTACCTTTTTTGATCCTGCTGGTGGAGGTGACCCTATTCTATACCAACATTTATTTTGATTCTTTGGGCACTCCGAAGCTAAATCCTATCCTACCAGGTTTTGGAATGACTTCTCATATCGTAACATACTACTCCAGCAAAAAAGAATCATTTGGATATAGGTATAGTATGAGCCATAATATCAGTTGGTTTCCTAGGCTTCATCGTATGGGGTCACCGCATATTTACAGTAGAAATAGATATAGATACACGAGCATACTTTTCCTCCACCATTATAAGTATCATTATCCCTGCTGGAGTAAAAGTCTTTAGCTGATTGGCCACATCACACAGCAGCAACATTAAATGATCTCCCGCAATACTCTGAGCTCTAGGCTTCATCTTTCTCATCACAGTAGGTGGCTTAACAGGAACTGTATTAGCCAATTCACTATTAGACATTATTTTACATGACACACATTACATATTTTCCCATTTCCACTATGTCCTATCAACAGGGGCAGTGTTTGCCATTATAGCAGGCTTTATCCACTGGTTGGTTCCCTCTATTTTCGGGCTACACACTTAACCAAACCTATGCTAAAAATCACTTCACCATTATATTTGCAGGTGTAAACTTAACTTTCTTCCCACAACATTTTCTCCGCCTACCTGGAATGCCTGGATGATACTCCAACTACCCTGATGCACCACTGCATGAGATATTATTTCATCTACAGACTCATTCATCTCATTAACTGCAGAGGTACTGATAGCCTTCACAGTCTGAGAAGTCTCTTTCCCAAAATGAAAGTTTTTCCCATTGAACAATTAAATAATATCTTAGAATGACTTTATAGCTGTCCGCCTTTTTATTACACATTCAAAGAGTCAGCCTATGTAAAATCTTAAATGAAAAAGAAGGGACTCAAATCTCCAGAAACTGGTTTCAAACCATTCCCATAAACCCTACAACTCTTTCAAGAAGACATTAATAAAATAATTACATTGCTTTGTCAAAGTTAAATTATAGAGCAAACTCTATATATCTTAATGGCCCACCCAGCCCAGCAAGGACTCCAAAATGCCACATCCCCTATTATAGAAGAACAAATTGTTTTCCATTTGTGCCACCCTACCCTGGTACATGGTTCTGGCCCTAATCCCATATATGGCCCTGTCTACTAGCCTGGCCCTAGCCCTGTTGCTGGTCCTGCCATGGCCCTTGCCCTGCTCTAGCTTTGCCTTGATCCTGACATTGCCCTTCCCTGGTCCTGGTCCCAGTCTTGTCTCCGCCCCTGCATTTCTCTGGCACTGGTCTGGACCCTGGCCCTGAACTGGACCTGCCTCTGCACTGGACCTGCCCTGCCTTTGTCCTGCCTTTGCTCTGTGCTATCCTGGACTGGCTCTGCCTTGTGCCAGTGCTGACCTGGCCCTGCCTTGTTCTGGTCCTCCCATTGCCCTCCCCAACCCTATCCTGGCCCTGAGCCCTCCCTAGCCAGGCCCAAGCACTGTATTGGATCAAACCTGATTCAGCCCAGGACATTCCCTGACCCTGCCTCAGCCCTTGCACTCGGCTCAGTGTCACTCAGTCCTGGCACTACCTGGTCCTGCCTTGGCACTTTCCCTGCCATCTCTATGGCCTGGCCCTGGTCATGCCCAGCCCTGGCACAGCCCTGGTCCTGATCGCGCCATATTCCTGGTCCTGACCCGCCATGGCTCTTCCCTCCATGTCCTGGTCTTGACCTCACACTGCACTGGCCTTGAACTGGTCCTGAGCTACCCTAGCTCTGCCTTGCCCTGGTGCTTCCCTGGACTGACACCTGACCTATGCTGTCCATTACACGACCGTGGGCCTGCCCTGCCCTCCTCTTCCCTGGCCCTGCCATGCGCTGGGCCCAGTGCTTCCCTGGCCCTGTTCCTAGCCCTGCACCTGCTATGCCTCTGCCCTGCTGTTGGCTATGCCCCGTGCTACCTTAGTCATGCTCTGTCCTAGCCCTACCCTACCCTGGCCAAGCCTTTGACTTTTCCTAGTCCTGGTTCTGCACTGGCTGTGAACTCTCACTAGCCCCACCTTGGCCTGGCACTACACTGGCCCTGGCAATGTCCTGGCCCTACACTGGGCATACACTGACATGGGACCCACCCTAGGCCTGCCTTTGCCCTGGCCTCTCCTTGGCCCTGCATTGTCCCTGGACCTGTTTTGGCTGTGGCACAGTGCTCACCCTGCCCTGTCCATGTCATAGACCTGACCATGCTCGGCCCTGGCACTACCATGTCCTGGTTCTTCCCTGGACCTGTGTTATCCTAGTCCTGCCTCGCCCCTGACCTGCAATGTCCCTCCCTACCCTGGTCTTGCCCTGTCCTGGCACTCCCTTTCGTCTGCCCTGGCTCTAGTTCTGACCTAATCCTGCCTTTGACTTGGCCACTCCCTGGCCCTGCCTTTTCCCTGGCCCTTCTCTGGACTTGCTCTTGTCCTTACCCTTGCCCTGGCCCCTTTCTGGCCCTGCCTTATTGTGGAACCTTCAATGTTCCTGCACTGCCATCCCCTGGCCCTGTGCTTACTCTACACTGGCCCTGTCCTGCCTTGGCTCTCAGCTACCCTACCACTACCCTTCCCTGGTCCTGTACTGGCCATGCCATGTCCCTGCCCTTACCCTGAGTCTGCCCTGATCCTGGGTCTGCTCCTGGAATTGGTCTTGTCATGTCCTTGGACCATGACCTTACCCCTGGTTTTTCCCTGGCCATGACCCAGCCCCAGTCCTGTCCTGTCTCTGGCCTTGCCCGGTTCTGGTCCTGCTATTCCCCAGCCTAGACTGGGCACTGCAGTAACCACTACTCTGACCCTGACCTGCCCTACACTTCCCATGTCAGGGTCCTTTCCTCGGCCTGGTCCTGACATGGACATGGCCCTTACCCTGCCACTCATCTTGCCATAGCCCTGACCCTTACTTGGCCCTGATTCTGTCCTGGCTCTGGCCCTGGCACTTCCTTGGCCTTGGCCCTGCCAAGGCCCCTAGCTACCCTTGCCTTTCCATGGCCCTCTGCTTTGCTGGCCCTGCCATTCCCTGGCCCTGTCTCTGACCTGGCCATGCTCTGAGCATGCCCTTGGCATTCAGTCTGGTCTGCAGTGTCCTGCCCTGGGCCAGCCTACTGTTACCTGCTCTAACCCAGCCCTGTCCTGGCCCATCCCTAGCCCTGCCCTTATCAAAGCCTTGACCCTGAACCTGCTCTTGCCCTTCCCTTGCTCTTCTTTGTCCTGGCCTTGCCCTCACCCTGCATTCCTGCACTGGCCCTCTCTAACTTCACATGGCCTTGGCCCCACCTTCTCAATGGCCTTGCCCTGGCCCTTGCCCTATTCTATCATCCTATATCTTGGCACGGTACTGGTCCCACCATAACCTGGCACATTGCTTACCCTGGCCCCTTTCCTAGTCATGCCCCTGTTATGGCCCTACCCTGCTTTGGGCCATGCCCTGTGCTATCCTAACTCTGTAGTGCACTGTCCGTGGCCCAAACCTGGCCTTCTCCTGCCCTGTCCCTATCTTTCCTTTGTCCTGGTTTTGGTTTTGCCCGGGTCCTGCCCTTGCTCTGGACCTTCCCTGCTCCTGCCTTCTCCATGGCCCTGCCCTTGCATTGGCCCTGTCCCTGGACCAGTCTTGGCCCCCTCTTTTCCCTGGCCCTTCTCTGGCCTTGTCCTTGCCTTGGCCCCTTTCTGGCCCTGCCTTGTTGTGCGACCTGCTCTGTCCATGGCAAGGGCATGGACCTTGGCCGTGCATTGATCCTGGCCTGGCCCTGTGCTATCTCAGTTCTGTCTTGGTCTTGATCTTGCCCCATTCCTGGTCTTGCGCTTTTCCCCTGACCCTGTCTGCCTTGCCTCACTCTGTCCCTAGCCAAGAGCTGGCCCCAGCCCTGACCTTTGACTGCCACTGCCCTTGCTCCTGATCATGGTCCTGCCCCAGCCATGTCCTAGACCTGGCCATGGATCTGCCGCTGCCCTGGCCCCTTGCACAAGCCCTGGAACTGAACCTTCCTTGCTTAAGTCCTTACCTGACTCTAGCCTGGCCCCAACACTGTCCTGGGTCTGATTTGCCTGGGCCCTACCATGGTACACTGCTCTGGCCTTAGCCCTGACACTGGCACTATCACTGTCCTGGCCCTAGCCCTGCTGTGGCTTAATTTGGTCGTGACATTGCCCTTTCCTGGTCCTGGTCCTGGCCCTGGCCCTGGCCTTGTCCTGCCCCAGTGCTTCTCTCATCCTGGTCTGGACCCTAGCCCTGCACTGGAACTGCCCTGTCTTTGCCCTGTACTATCCTGGCCTGTGTCTGCTCTGTGCTGGTGCTCACCTGGCCCTGCCATGACGTGGTATCCATCGTGTTACCCAACCCTGCCCTGGGTTTGTCATGGTCTTTCCATGTCCCTGACCCCTCCCTGATCCCACCCTAGCCCTGTCCTGGATCTAACCCTTACTTAGCCCTGGACCTTCCCTGGCCCTTCCTAAGCCTTTGCACTCAGGGCTCCATGTCACTCAGCCCTAGCACAACGTGGAACGACCATGGCACTTGCCCCACTTGTCCTGTCATAGCCCTGACCCTGAATTGGCCCTGTACTGGCCCCACCATACCCTCTCTTGCCCTGCCCTAGCATAGCCCTGGACCTTGCCCTTGTCCTGCCATATTCGAGGTGCTGTCCCTACCCTTGTCCTGGTACTGACCTACCATGGCCCTGCCCTTCTGTGCCCTAGCCTTGCCCTCACCCTGCATTGTTCTTGCACTGTTCCTGCTCTACCCTGGTGCTGCCTTGGTTCAGGCTCTGCCTTCTCTGGGCCTGGACATGTCTGGCCTTGCCCTGTCCCTGCCCTGGGACTACTCTGTCCATCTCATGACCCTGTCACTGCTGTGCCCTCATCTGCTCTGGAGCTGCCATACCCTGGGCCCAGTGCTTGCCCAAGCCCTGCTCCTAGACCTACCCCTGCTATGGTCCTGCCCTGCCTTTGGCCAGACCCTGTGCTACCTTAGTCCTGCTCTGCTCTGACCCTACTCTGGCCATACCTTGCCCTGGACCAGACTTTACACTATACCGGTCCTGGTTCTACCCTAAACCTGCCCTTTCTCTGGACCCTCCCTAACACTGCCCTTGATCTGGCCCTATCCCTGAAACAACATGGCCTGACCCTACACTGGCCATGGAAACGTCCTGGCCATGCACCAGGCATGTAATGGCACTTGTCCCACCCTATACCTGCCTTTTCTCTGACCCCTCCTTGGTCCTGCATTGTCCCAGGACCTGTCCTGGCTATAGCACGGCACTGACCCTGCCCTGTTCATGCCAAAGACCTAACCCTTCTCTGCCATATCCTGGTTCTGCCTTGACCCAGCCCTTCTCCAGCAATCCCGTGGCTGTGACATCACTGTCCTGCATCGGCCCTGAACTTACCCTGGCCCTACCCTGGACTTCCATGACCCTCCCTACTCTAGTCTTGCCCTGCCTTTTCGTCTGCCCTGGTGCTGTCCTTACCTTAGACCATACGTGGCTGTGCTTTTTCACTAGACTTTCTCTGGTCTTGCCCTTGCCCTGGCCCCTCTCTGGCCCTGCCTTGCTGTAAGCCATGGTCTGTTCATGTTCTGGCCTTGCTCTTCCCTCTCCATACCCTGCCATCACCTGGTCCTGTCCTTGCTCTACACTGGCTGTGCTCCGTCATAGTCCTAACCTTGCCCTGGCCCAAACCCATGACCCTGCCATGTCCTTGCCCTGATCCCTGGTTCTACCTTGTTTCTGGTACTTCCCTGGCCTTGTTCCTGTCATAACCCTGGCCCTACCTACCTTTATCCAGGCCCTAACACTGTCTGCCCTGGCCTGGATGGGCTCTAACCTGCCTTGCCCTGCCATCTTCCTGCCCTGGTCCAGCCTGGCCCTTCCCTTGATTTTCATTGCACTGGCCTTTCCCTCACCCTGCACTGACCCTGAACTGGCCCTGCCTTGGCCCTGCCTTGGTAGTAGCCCTGCCTTCTCCCTAGCCTTCAGCTGGTCTTGGCCCTGACCTGGACCTACCATGTACATAACATGCCCCTTGCCCTGTCCTGTCCTCTTCTGTTCTTGCCTTTAACTAGCCCCACCATACTCTTGCCCAGTGCTTGCCCTGGCCCTGTTCCTAGTCCTACCCCGGCTATGGCCCTGTCCTGATTCTGACCATACCGTGTGCTATAGTATCCCTGCCCTGGCCCTGACCTGTCCTTGCCCTGCCTTTGCTTTGCCCTGGTTCTTGTTCTGCCTTGGCTCAGCCCTTAATCTGTCCCTGTCCCTGGCCCTGCATTGGTCCTGAACTGGCCCTGGTCCTGCAATATGCCAGTCCCTCCATGGCCCTGACCTCACCCTGAACCTAGACTTGACCCTTTTCCCTGGCCCTGCCCAGCCATTATCCTCTCCCTAGCTCAGACCTGGTCAAGCAGCCACCTTGACCCACCACTGTCCCTGCTCCTGACCCTCATCCTGCCATGACCCTGCTGTTGCCCAGGCCCTGGCATGGACCCTGGTGCTGACGTTTCCCTTGATTAAGGTCCTGACTCTGCCCCGGCCCTGGCTCTGACCCTGTCCTGGCTCTGATTTGCTGGGCCCTGCCCGAGTACGCTGTCCTGGTCCTAGCCCTGACCCTGGCCCCATCACTGTCCTGGCCCTAGCTCTGGCTGGTCCTACCACAACCCTGGACGTGGCCCTGCTCTGTCTTTGCCTTGGTCCTGACATTTCTCTTTCCTGGTTCTGGTCCCAGCGCTGTCGTGGAGCTTCTCTGGCCCTGATCTGGACCCTGCCCCTGCATTGGAGCTGCCCTGCCTTAAATCTATGCTATCCTAGCCTGGCCCTGACCTATGGTGGTGCTTACCTGGCTTTGCCATGTCTCGATCCTCCCGTTACCCTGCCCAACTCTGCCCTGGTTGTGTACTGGCCTGGTCCAGGCTCTGACCCCTCCCTGGTCCTGCCCTGACCCTGTCTTGGATCTAACCCTGACTCAGATCTGAACCTTCCCTGACCCTGCCTCAGCCCTTGCATTTAGGGCTCAGTGTCACTTAGTCCTGGCACTACCTACCTCTGCCCACTCTATGGCTTGGCTCTGGTCCTACCTTGCCCTTGCCCTGCCCTGTCACAATCCTAGCTGTGGCCCTACCCTTGACCTGGTCCTAGTCCTGCTCCTGCTCTGACCCTCCCTGCTTTTATCCATGCCATGTGCTCTGCTGTGCCCTGACCCTATGCTGGCAATAACCTGCCCTGGCATTGCCTTTGCCTTGTTGTAGTACTGGTTCTGCTGTGGCCTTGCCCTTGTCCTGGACCCTCCCTAAGCATGCCCTAGCTCTTGCCTTGTCGCTAGGCCTGCCCTTGCCTCTGGCCTTGTCCCTGCTCGAACTTTGATGTGGCCCTACACAGGCCCTGGAAATTCCCATGGCCCCACACCAGCGATACCTTAGCTTTGGACCCATGCCTGTCTTTCCCCTGGCCCCTTCTTGGCTCTGTGTTGTCCCTGGACCTAACCCAGCTATGGTACAGCCCTTTCCCTACCCTGTCCTGTTCCTACCATGCACTGGTTCTGCCCTGGCCTGCCTTTCCCCACTCATTCCCTCGCCCTGTGCTACCCTAGTTCTGCCTCAGCCCTCACCTTGCCCTGGTCCTAACCTGGTCTGCCATGTCCCTCCCTACCCTGACTTTGCCCTGCCCTGGCACTCCCTTTGGTCTGCCCTGGTTCTGACTCTGACCTGGCCCAGCCCTTGTCTTGGCTCCTGCCTGGCCCTGCCTTTTACCTAGTCCTTCTCTGGCCTTGCCCTTATCCTTGCCCTGGCCCCTCCTGGACCTGCCTTGTGGGCTCCGCCTGGTCCATGTCCCAACCCTGGCCTATTCTGCACCTATGCTGCCATCCTTGGTCCTTACTTCCTCTACACTGGCCCTGCCATGTCTTAGCTCTGGAGTACCCTATGAATGCCCTGTCCTGGCCCTGCGCTGGCCCTGACCTTGTCATGTCCCGATCCCTGTCCCTGCCCTATTTCTGGCTCTGGTCTTCGTCTTGTCATCTCCATAGCTGTGACTCTACCCCTGGTTTTTCCCTGGCCATGAACCAGCCCTGGGCCCACCCTGCATCTTGCCCTGCCCCCTTCTGGTCCTGCTATAGTCCAGCCCTGTTGAGGCCCTGCCCTACACTGCAAATGCCACTGCCATGTCCTGGTCCTGACTTGGCCATGGCCCTCACACAGCCACTCAACCTGCCATAGTCCTGACGCTAACTTGGCCCTGGTCCTGTCCTGGCTCTGGCCTCTCCCTTCTATTGACTGGCCCCATTCTGGCATGGCACTGTCTTGGCCCTCTCCCTGCCCTAGCCCCTGCTGTGGCCTTTCCTTGGCCCTCTGAGATGCTGGATTGGCTATGTCCTGGTCCTGCCTCTGCCATAGACCTGCTCTGAGTATGGCCTTGGCATTCAGCCTGGCTCTGCCCTAAACCTGCCCCACCTTTTACCTGGCCCTGCAGTGCTCTGCCCTGGACCTACCTTACCATTACCTGTGCTGTCCGGGCCCCAACCTGACCCTGTCTTGGCCATGTCCTAACGTCCCCCTGTGCTGATTCCGCCCTGGCCCCACCCGGACCCTGAGTTGGCCATGTCCTATACTGCCCCTGTCCTGGACCTGCACTGACCTTGTCTTGGCTCTGGCTTGGCCCCTCATGCTGACTCTGCTCCCGACATGGCCGCAGGTCTGCCAGTGGTCCTGGTCCTGTTCTGTCCTGACGTGGACTTGGACATGTCCTGGGCCTGATTTGTCCCAGTCCTGCCTTGGCATGTCTGTGCCCTGCCCTACCAAGGCTCTTCTTGTTCTGTCCTATCCTGGCATACCCATGGCCCCATTGTGTCATTGCCCTGTCTCACCAGGCACTAGTTGTGCCTTGGCCCTGATTAACCCTAAACTCTCTTTTGAACTGTACTGACAGTACATCTCCCTGCCCTGGTTGTGCCAGGCCCCTGGCACTGGCCCAGTCATAATACTGACCCTAGCTCTGCCCATATCCTGACATTGCTCTGGCCTGTATCCTGTGCCTTACCCAAACACTGGCCTGACCATGGCTCTGACCCTGTCCTGGGTCTGATTTAATCACTATCTACTTTGGTACATTGTTCTGGCCTTAGCCCCCACCCTGGCTCTTTCACTGTCTTGTCCCTACCCCTGTTGCTGGTCCTGCCATGGTCTTGACCCTGCTTTTGCACGGTCTTTGCCTTGGTACTGACATTGCCCTTTCCAGGTGCCTGCCCTGGCATTTCTCTGGCCCTAATCTCAACCTTTGCCATGCATTGGACCTGCCCTCCTTTGCCCTGTGCTATCCTGGACTGGCCCTGCTCTGTCTTGGCACTGAACTGATTCTGCCATGTTCTGGTCCTCCCATTACCTTTCCCAACCCTGTCCTGGTTGTGCCCTGGCCCTGACTCCTCCCTAGTTCTGCCCTGGTCCTGTCTTGGATCTAACCATGACTCCGCCCTAGACCTTCCCTGACCCGGTCTCAGCCCTCACACTCAGGGCTCATTGTCACTCAGCGCTGGCACTACCTGGCCCTGTCTTGGCACTTGCTCTGCCCTCTCTGTGACCTGGCTCTAGTAATGCCCTGCCCCTTCCCTGCTCTGGCATAGCTCTGGCTCTGCCTGTGGTCCTTGCACAGTCCTGGCCATACACCTACACTTGTTCTGACCCTGACCCTCCATGGTCTCTCCCTTCCATTACCTGGTCTTGCCCTCACCCTGCACTGGCCTTGCACTAGTTCTGTTCTACCCTGCCTCTGCCATGACCCTGGCTCTGCTTTCTCCCTGGCCTTTCCCCGTCCCTGCCCTAGACTGACCCCAAGTCTACTGTGTCTGTGACAAATTTTGGTCCTACCCTGCCCTCCTCTGCCCTGGCCCACCATGCACAGAGCCCAGCTCTGACCAGACACTACGCTACCCACTCCCTGGCCCTACACTGCCCTGTCTTTGCCATGTGCTACCCTATCCCTTCCCTGAACCTGTGCTGGCGATGGTTTGATTCTGCTACTCCTGCTGACTCCGGTCATGGCACCAGGCCTGCCAGTGGTCACTGTCCTGGTCGTGCTCTAGCCCTGACCTGGACTTGGACATGTCTTGAGCTTGATTTGTTCTGGCCACACCTTGACCTGTCTCTTCCCTGGTCCATCAAGGCCATGCTTATACTGCCCTTTCCTGGCCCTGCCATGGCCCATGTGTGCCATTGCCTAATCTTACCTTTCACTGGTTGTGCCTTTACCCTGACCAGCCCTAGCTGCTCCCTGGATTTACTCTGACCCTGCCTTGGCTTTTGCCCTGCCTTCTCTATGGTCTGCCTCGGCTCTGCTCTTATTTAGCCAGGGCCCTGTCTGGGCCCTTCCATAGCTCTGACCCTAGACCATCATTGATCAAGACCCTGACCCTGCCTTTCCCTGCCCTTGCCCCTAACCCTGCCCTGGACCTTCCCTTGGTCTTCAGTGCCCTTTGACGCTCTGGTCTTGGTCTTATCCTGCATGGAGCGTGTACTGGAGGTCTCTGCCTTGGCATGGCCTTAGCCATGCCTTCTCCCTGGCCTTTCCCTGACCCTTCCCCAGGCTGATGATGGAACTACCCTGTCCATGACATGTTCCTACCCTGTCATCCAATGTCCTGGCACCACCATACCGTGGCCCACTGCTTTTCCTGGCCCTGTACCTAGTCCTGCGCCTGCTATGGCCCTGCCCTGCTTCTGGCCATGCTCTGTCCTACCCTAGCGCTGCTCTGTCACTAACCTGGTCTTGGTCTGCTCTGTACCTGCCTTTACTTTGTCCTGCTTCTGCAATTCCCTAGCCCTGCCCTTGCTCTGGACTTTCCCTAGTACTGCCTTCTCTGTGGCCATACCCTTGCTCTGGCCCTGTTCCTGACCCAGCCTTGGCTCTGGCCTGGCCCTGACCCTATGTTGATCCTGGCATGGCCCTGGCCCTGTGCTTTCCTAGTCCTGCCCTGTTCCTGATCTCACCCCTTTGCCCTGCTCTACCTTGAACCTCACCCTGCCATTGAACCAGGT